CCTTGGAAGAAAAATTAAGTTAGAGCCCTATGTCACATCAAAAATGAATTCCAGATGCAGGCAGGTTCCCCCAGCAAGACACAAAGCAGCTTTCCAGGGAGCTCTGCCCTTCAGAGGGCTACAGCTTCACCTCCTCCAACCAAGTCTGGATCTCTGGGAGAAGCCTCTTGAAGATGTGTTTCTTCCTCGGGTGCTCTCCCTTAGCCCTAGAGGCAGTAGCTGATCACTATCTCTACTATCCCTGTATTCTTCAGGCTGTTCTTTTCCCTTAGGTAATCTCTTATGTGGGCTCAAATGGTAAAGAATCCACCTGTAATGCAGGAGACCCCAGTTCGAGTCTTGAGCTGGGAAGATTCCCTGGAGAAGGAGTATCTATTTAGTTAACAATTCTTTATATTAAACTTTATCTATTAAATTTAAAAAGAAATAAATTTCAGATGATCTATAGTACTAATTACACCTCCCTTGCCTTCCTTAACTCTGTTGCCAATCTAGCAACCAGAGCGATTTGGAGTTGTTTTTTTTTTGTTTGTTTGTTTGTTTTTTTGTTTGTTTGTTTTAATGTAAGTCAGATCACACCACTCCTCAGCTCAAAACATTTTCAATGATTCCCCACAGTGAAAGTCAATCTTTACAATGCTCTAGGACCCTATAATACCTGCCACCTTTCACCTCTTATTTTACTGCTCACTTCTCCCTTCCTCTCCCACATCCTTCCACCCACTGCCCCAGTAATTTCATTCTAGCCACAATGACCTCCATGCCATCCCTCAAACGTGACAGACACATTCCTTCACTAAGGTATTCGCAAAAATTGATCCCTCTGTCTGGAATACTCTTCCTTCAGATATCCACACATTAGGTCTTCTATCACCTTCAAGTCTTTGGTCAAATGTCACCTTCTCAACAAGCTTACTCTGACCACCCTATTTAAAACCAGCCTACCCCGACTCCTTTTACCCTGTTCCATTTTTTTTCTTTTTCCATAGCACTTATCACCTAACAATCCATATGATTTGATATGTTTGTTGTTTAATATCTGTTTCTCCCACGCCAGGGAGGGTTTTTTATTATCTGTGTTGTCCACTGATATATTCCAAATATCTAGAATTGCACCTGGCAAGTAGTACACACTCACATGTGTTGAACAGTTTTACACTTGTCTGTGGGATTAACTAACGGCCTTCTGATTCACTACTTAGGAACAAGGACTGGGTTTTTTTCATCATTTTATTTCCTAGACCTCTGCCTAGACTAAGCACACAAACATTTATTAACTGGATTTTTTTTTTTTTCGTCTATCAGAAAATACAATTTTAAAACAACTGGCATTATCCAGGGCTTGTAAGAGTGTGGGGGAAATCTACCCTCTCATATACTATTGGTAGGTATGTAAATTGATACTTTTTGAGAGTAAGCTAGCAATAGCTATTAAAATTTAAATCACTCAGAGCTCATGCCCTTTAATTCAGTAGTCTTACAGAAGTAAAAGTACCTGAAAAGTATGTACGAGAATATCTAGACCAGAACTACTTATAAAACGGAAAAACTGAAAGCAATCTACATATCTATCAATAAAGATAGAGGCAAATAAATCATATGTGGTACATGTTATGTGACAACATTCTTTAACAAGAATGAGGCACATCTGTAGCAATGAACTGGAAAATAGCCCACAATCTAGTAAACAGATCAGGGGGCTCTGGCATCAGATAACCTGGATTTGAATCCTGGCTCCCCTCGCTTCCTAGCTAGGTAATTCCAGGCACTTTTTAACTTCTCTGCGCTTCAGTTTCTTCATCAATAAAACAGGAACAATATTATAATAGTATCCACTTCACTGACCTGAAGATTTCCTGAGATAATGCATGCAGTGTCTATAGCACATTTATGGGCACATAACCATTTACAAGTATATAATAAGTACAGTTATCATTTACAAGTGAAATAGACAAGTTGCAAACCTATGTATGTAAACCATGTCCATTTTAGGGGGAAAAGCCTATGAAATTTATAGAAAAAAGTCAAGTACAGAAAACTTAATACTGATTTCCTCTCAGAGATGAGAGAAGACATACTTAATAGCCACCTTTTTTTAATGGAAGGATTTTAGAATATAGTGTTTTTAAATAAAAAAGAAATGAAGTAAAATCAGAGCAAATACTTCTAAGAGTTTAACTTAGATTCAAAAATATTACAGTTTGAAATAGTTTACATCACATATACTCTTTGAATTCTGAAGATAAATAATCAGCTGAAATTTCTTTGACTATTAAAGTTACCTTTGTTCTAAACGAGTAAACTAAGGTGCACAATCCAAAAAACAGTTTGTAAAAAACTTACAAAATAAAGACTTGGACTGCAAGGAAATCAAATTAGTCAAACCTAAAGGAAATCAACTGTGAATATTCACTGGAAGGACTGATGCTGAAACTCCAATACTTCGGCCACAGCATTCAAACAGCCAACTCACTGGAAAAGACTCTGATGTTGGGAAAGATTGAGAGTAGGAGGAGAAGGGGACAACAGAGGATGAGATGGTTAGATAGCCTCACTGACTCAATGGACATGAACTTCGCAAATTCTGGGAGATAGTGGAGGACAGAGAAGCCTGGCATGATGCAGTCCATGTGGTTACAAAGAGTCGGACATGACTTAGCAACCAAACAAGAAAATTATTACACTTTAACCTATAGATTTTACACACAAATCAGTTCTTTTAACCTACCATATCTCCATGAAAAATAAAAGATATGTCAAAAAAGAAAAGAAAACAACATCAACGTAAATTAAAACTGCTTCTAAAATGGGATACCTGAGAATTCCCTGGCAGTCCAGTGGTTAGGACTCTGTGCTCTCACTGCCGAGGGCCTGGGTTCAATCCCTGGCCAGGGAACTAAGATCCTATGAGTCGTGCAGCGCGGTCAAAGAAAAAAATAAAAAGGAATAAAAGCTAGATTAAAGTCAAAAAGTAAAAGTTACCTTTTACTGTCAGTTTAACTCAAAAGAATTCTGCAACCTTTTACTGTCAGTTTAACTCAAAAGAATTCGGCAATTTTTTAATAACAGTAGGGCTAGGAAATTCAAGTGTGCTTAAAGCTAAAGTGTTAAATAGTGATCTATATTAAGTTCAGCAAAAGAGAAAAATTAAATCCCCCAAGACAAATTTCTAAGAAGACCCAGACACAAAGCACTCAAACACACAGAATTCTCTCTCCTTTTGTTAACAGTAGCTGTGGCTGCTCATTTACTACACTAATTGAAAATACTGCAATCTATGCAAACTAAATCCCATCCCATAGTCACAGGATTTGAAAAATAGGGAATAAACCTGTAGTAAGAATACATGATTTCCTAAAGCTAATTTTTCCTAGCCTCTTTCAAGTGCTTAGTCACTTCTGCCTATTTACAACAAAGACCATTTCACATCTAGAAAGAGGGAGGGAATTTTGATTCCGGACTGTCATGTCACCTGAGCCGCCCTAGACCTTTGTTTCCATGCAACTCAAGAGAAGGCAGCCGCCAGCTAAGCATACCTACCACTCCAGATCAGAACCAGAAGCCACTGGGGCTCCCCCTACTCTGCCTCGTCTGCAATAACAAAGAGGTGTTTGTAGAAAAGCAATGTTTTCTTCCCTGACACCAAATGCAAAAGGTGAGGATTAAAAGGTAGCCTGAAAACCCGTTTCCTCCAACAGTCCACCAGAGAATGCCTCCCATCTACTGAAGCAGAAACAGCATTCAGATTTTCATACAACTCCAGGTGTGTGGGTGCTAGACAGACATCTCTCCTCAGGCAGCTAACGAAAACCCAAAACTAGAGGCAAACAGGCTTTAGAGCACACTCCAAGAAAGAAGTTAGCATTAAAATCCGGTAACATTGTTTCACGTTCCTCAAAGGCAAGAACAAAGAATCGGGTTTTCATGAAATATTTTCTTGAGGCAACCCTAGGCAAAGGCAAGTTTTTAAGCATCAACTATGTGCCCAGCGCCAAATCCCAACATTCCACTCACACTTAAAGATGCTAAGCACACACGCTGATTATAGAAATACACCTGAAAGAACTCTCCCAGATACAACAGTACCTTGCCAAGGACCAGGCACAAAATAGTAACACCTGGAACCATGTGGTCACTCTCTGAAGCAGGGCTTAGCCAACTTCCCAGAGGACAGGAAGGCCTGACAACCACCTGGGACTATTTAAGATGGGGCTCTTTCTCCTTCCATGGATGGAAGTGCTATAAAAGAGACACGTTTTTGCCTCGACTTCAGCATTCCCAAATACCGCCTTAATACTAATCACTTTATGTAAGTCACTTTACTTCCCTTATAGACAAAAAATAAAGGCACGATTGAATCTCTTTTCATGAGAACACTCAAGCTCCAAGAGGCTAAGAAACCCGCATCGTGCTTGTTAGTGAAGGCTCTAGGTGCTTTAGACGACCAGGCCCCAGCACTTAACCATTAAGCCACGACGCCTCTCAAGGAACGCTACTAAAACCAGTTACTGATCCGAGCCAGTTAGTTTCAGTCACAGAACTGAGCTCAAAGCGTTCAGTGACAAGGACAGAGGCGGGGCGTGGGGAGGGCACATCACCACTACCTAAGCAATTTCTTTTTCTTTTAAAGAATATAGCACATGTTCCTGATTTCCATCCTCCTCACGGGCAGAACCCACGTGCCGGTCCCACCGCTACCCACAGCAGCTCCCTCTCCGCTCTCCCCAGCTCACCCGCACCCCCCTCACCACCCCCCTCACTCCGCCCCCACCCCAGCCACGGCCAACGCCGGCACCTCCCGCCCCCTCGCCAAAGACGGCCGTCCAGGCCCTCGCACCGCCCTCGCGTGCAGCCAGCGCCGGACCCCGCGCGCTCCCGCCTCCGCCCGGCTGGGTCACCTCCCGGGCCTATGCTCGCCCTTCCCGCCGCCCGCAGGTCCCCCCGCGACGCCGGCGCCGGGCAGGCCGCGCCCGCCGCGCCTGCCATGGTGGGCGCCTCACCGTCAGGCTGAGGAGCCGGGCCCGGCTGCGCCATGGCCGGCCGGCCGGCCTCGGGGAGCGGGGATGGGCGGGGAAGCGGCGTCCCGGGCTCCCGCGGGCTCAGCTGGCGGAGGAGGCGTCGACCGAGCCGCCGCCGCCGCCGCCCAGGGAGGAACCGCTAAGGCTGGAGCCGCCGGCGCCGCCACAGCCGCGGGCAGAGACGGACCCGAGCGCCGACCTCCGCCTCCTCATCCTGACAGCGGGAAATAAGCAGTGCGCAGGCGCAGGGGAATGGGGAGGCACGTGACGTCGCCCTGAGGGGAGGGGGCGGGGCTTCTTGAAGGGAGGGGCGCGCAGCGCGAGGCGGAGGCCGAAGGAGGGGCGGGGGGTGTGGTGGGGGAGGAGGAGGCTGAATACCGGAGGAGGGGGAGAGGGAACAGGAGGAGAGCTGCGGCGGGAGAGGCCAGGCCTTGTTCAGGGGCAGCTCCTTACCCTCCACCCCAGAACAGAGACGAGGAAAGAATAATTACAAAAAGAAGGGCGAGAGAGGAGGCTAGATGGTGAAATTAGTGCAAATCCAGCCTCTGCTTCTTCTAGCTGTGAGACCTTGGGCGAGTCACTTTACCTCTTTGAACCTCACAGCCTTTGCCTGTATAATGGCTACTAAAAGTTTAAATGAAGTGTGCGGAACTGTTTCTTAGGTACTTTCCATCACGCACCTATGTGCGCTATGACTTTAAAGTGCCACACATCATGAGAGGTGATGGGGATACAGCCAGACACAGTTCTTGCACCCACGAGGGGAGAGGGAGAAGATGGTAGGCAGACAATACCGCCTTTACACCTGGGCATAGGTACACACATTAGAGGTGACCTCTACCCCAGGTCTGACCGCATTCCTTACATAGTGTCCAAGGGCCATGCCCACCTGGCGCCTGTGCCTCTCTTTCAGGACCAAGTTCTTGGAACTTGTGACCCCTGAATTCCCTCCCAAATGACTGGAGCCTGTGGGCTCTTCTCCAGGCCATATTCTCTAAGGCAGAGTCTGGAAACCCCTAGAAGTGGCTGAGGGGCATCTGTGCTTGAGAGAGGGGCGCCTCACTTGGACATCTGAGCTTCTGTGTACACAGATGCCTGGAGAAGGCAATGGCAACCCACTCCAGTACTCTTACCTGGAAAATCCCATGGACATGGACGGAGGAGCCTGGTAGGCTGCAGTCCATGGGATCGCTAAGAGTCGGACACAACTGAGCGACTTCACTTTCACTTTTCACTTTCATGCATTGGAGAAGGAAATGGCAACCCACTCCAGTGTTCTTGCCTGGAGAACCCCACGGACAGAGGAGAAAGGTGGGCTGCCATCTATGGGGTCGCACAGAGTCGGACACGACTGACGCGCGACTTAGCAGCAGCAGCAGTATACAGATGCCTAATGCAGGACAGAGATGGAAAAAGAGGGCAGGTGGGCCGGTGCAAGTGCTCCCACCACCACCTCATTTTAGTGCATAAATCTGAGGAGTCTGGGGATCCTAAATTTGGACCTGGTCTTCCCTTGCATTAAAGATGTATATTTGTCAACGTAGAATAGAGCATATGAACAGTTGGAGTGATTTATAATTTTAAATAATTTAGGTAGACATGTTGCATCTGTTTGTACTTTTGCCCCAAATTCCGCTAACACTAGAGAAGGGCCTATATACAGACTTGAGCCTTTTGAGCAGTTAATATCTTCGAATGACTGGTATGCCTTTGAGAGAGCAAGCAGAGTGACTTCCCCAATCCCCCATTAAATGACTCTCCTGCAGATCCATGCTGGACATGAAGACCTTTGTCCAGGATAAGACAGCCCCGTACACTTTCTCTCTAGTGATGACTAACTCAAGGCAGGGACCATAAAGATAGCAGATGCTGATACTCTCTACAGAAGGAACTCTTCCAGTGAGTAAGAGGTGTGTTTATTGCCATTGATAATCTGGGGCTTGAAGCCAGGACCCAAGCTCAAGGTCACACCAAAAGGATTAGACTGCTGATCTAAACACATAGAGCACCCCATGCAAAAGAGGTGGTTGGAATTTGGAAATCACATTAAGGCCATGCTTGGGTTATGTACATTTTCATATTTTTAGGTAAATCCTAACACCCAGCAATTCCACCCCCAGGCATACATTTTAAAGAAAACTAGTGTGTGCTCAAAGCCTTTATTAACTGTAAAGACACGATGCTTATATTTGGAAAGAAATTGGGAGATAAGATTTAAACACATGTAATAATTGCTTATCAATTACATTGCACATGTGCCACAGTAGATACAGAATATTTAAGGTGACATAGCTTATAATAAAATAAATAAAAGCCCAAGAATTCATCAACAGAATAAATTTTAAAATATTCATACATATAGTCTACAGCAATAATAATGAACAAACAGCTACATAGTCAGTATAGATGAATCCCACAAACATAATTCTGAGAGAAAGAAGTTGTAGAATCATATATACAGAGTGAGCCCATTTATATAAAATTTCAAAACAGGCAAAACTAAACTTCATCCACACAAAGTTGGTAAACTGTAAAGATGGGAAGAGAAGGACTTTCACAGAAGTCATGACAGTGGTTCCTGAACCAGGGAGGGAAGGACACGGGATGAAGGGTGGTAACTAAAAGCCCACCTTCTACTGGCAATCAATGGTGCTGGCAATGTGATATTCCTTAAACTGGGTCCACCTAAACTAATTATAAATCTGGGAAGCTGATGTTCAGATGAGAAAGACTTAGGAGTATTTGCCAACTACAAGCTTAAAATGAGCCAACTTGATACAACTGCTGGAAAGTATTGATTCTGTGCTTTATGAACAGAGTCACAGAGAGTCTTGGTGGAAGTCACAATTGGGAAAAAAAAATAGAGTCACTGTGTGTAAATCGCAGGAGGTGATGCCTCTTCTGCACTTTGTCCTGATTAGGTCACATCAGCAGTGCTGACTATGTTTGCTCTGTACACCATTGTTTGCAAGGGGACGCTAACCAGCTGGAGTGGGTGGAGTCCCAGGGAATGAAGAATCTGAAAATTATTTCCTGATGAAAATAGCAGGCAAAAGTACTCTGGTGGGGGAGAGGGGGAAGATGACTTGAGCTGTGAAGGCTGTCTCCAAATTGTGGAAGTCAATGTGTACAAGCGTGCTGTATGCCCAGAAACTGCAGCAAAACAGGCTTCAACCCAACCTGAAGAAGAACTTTTTCTCACAGCTAACTAGAGAGAGAAGGGGCTACGTTTCAGGGAAGGAGTCCCTGTTGTAAGTGTGCAGGTAGAGCTGGCTAGCAACTGGTTAGAGATGCTCATAGGAGGATTCCTACTACATTTGTGGGGTTAGACTAGACCATCTTTACAGTCCTTTTCAGCCTCAAGGTTCTGCAATACTAATGGCAATAAGTTTGCTGCGTTTTAAAGTTTACCAGGTTTCCCTGGTGGCTCAGTGGTAAAGAATTCACCTCCCAATGCAGGAGATGCAGGTTTGAGCCCTGGATCAGGAAGATCCTCTGCAGAAGGAAACGGCAACCCATTCCAGCGTTCTTGCCTGAGAAATCCCCCCGAAGAGCTGCAGTCCATGGGGTCACAAAGAGTCGGACACGACTGAGCAACTGAGCATACATGCAGTTTCTCATGTATTACTTCATTTTACTTCTCACAGCATTCCAGAAGGTATACAGTAGACACAAAGTAGATAAACCAAACTTTCCTGGATAAATCCCATGTCAAAATTCTCCGAATTTTCCATGTCAGAATCCTCCAGTTTCTGCAAGTACAGGTACGGCTCTGAGATGAGGTGTCCCAACTTGGCAACCAGCTGACAGTACTCAGAAGTGTTGGGGTTCTCTCTGTCTAGGATCCAGATTCTCTAGGGCAGGAAGGAACCAAAGAGTAGGCTTATAACACCATACTTCTCTGATCTTTAATAAAGACAACTTCTGTGCAGGATGGAAGTGTTTCACATGTATGCTTTCCCCTTGTAAGTTTTCTGTAAACCATCCACATCAATGCTATTTGATCACCATTCACCTGCTTCTCACTTCTCATTGGATTACAGACCATAATTTTAACCATTATTAATAATAACACCACTTAGCTGAGCACCTACTACTATATGCTAGAGATATTACCTGATAACAGCTCTTGGGAATATATTCTATTATTCCTGAACTCAGAGAGGTTAAATGACTTGTCCATGTCACACGGTAAACGGAAGAACTAGAATTCAAATCCAAGTCTGTCTCACCCCAGAGTATATGCTTTTTGCTGTCAGTGCTGACTAACCATGTCTATCGGGTATCAGTAAATACCCCAACACTTCAGTGCCATTATCAACTGAATTCGTTTTTAGACGTTTAAATGATATCTCCAGAAGTTACACTTCTTTTTAAAATAATTTTTTTTTATTTGTTTTTGACTGTGCTGGGTCTTCCTTGCTGTGCAGGCTGCAGGCTTTTCTCTAGTTGCAGTGAGTGGGAGCCAGTCTCTAGCTGCGGTGCATGAGCTCTAGGTGTGCGGGCTTCAGTAATTAAAACCCGTGAGGCCATTAGTTGCAGTTCCCGGGCTCTAGAAATAGCTGTGATGGATGGCCTTATTTGCTCCGAGGCACATGGGATCTTCCTGAATCAGGGATCGAACCCATGTCTCTTGCATTGGCAGGTGGATTCTTTACTACTGAGCCACCAAGGAAGCCCAAGTTACACTTCCTTTAATTACTTGTTTATTTTTTCAGATTATTTGACTAAAATTCTAGTTATAATTTTTTAAATATATAGAGAAAGCAAAAATACTTCCTCAACCTCTCCTCCCCCCAATACACACACAATCCCACACCTCTCTCCAGGGCAAACTACTGTTGTAACCAGCTTTGTATGAATCCTTTCAGACATTTTTTAATGCATCTATGAACATGCTGAAACACATGCCTGTTTTATCTTCCTCGCATAGATATGATCATATTGTACATTTACTCTGAACTTGTGTTTTTCCTCAACGGTATGGTCAATACCTATGGCTTTACTTCATTCTTTTTAACTCTCATGTAGTTTTCCATTTTGGTAAATGCTTAGGTTACTTACAGTTTTTCATTACTTACAAGCAATGCTGCAAGGAACATGTATACCTATCTAGGCACTTATATGAGTGATTTTTTCAGAAGATTTTCTACCCCCTTAGAATTACTAGATCAAAAATCATGAACACTACTTTTTCATTTAATGAATGTTGACAAAAAGTATCACATCAATAATATGACAACAGTATATGCACATATTTGTTTCTGTACCTCCTTGCCAATATTGGCTTTTGTCAATCTTCTTTATGTCTTCTAATCTGATGGACAAAAAAATTACTGTATACTTGTAAGCATACAATAAGCATTTCCCTGAATATCAGTGAGAGTAGAAACATTTCCATGTTTATTTTTATCTGCTGTTTGTATACAGCTACAATGAAATTTATATAAATTAAGCTATTTGTCTTTTATTATTGATTTGTAGGTGTTCCTAGGTATTCTGGATAGTAACTGTTGGTATGTTATATATAGTGTATTTCTTCTAGTTTGTTATTTGTCTTTTCATTTTAATAACACTAATAGTGTTATTTACTTACAGAAGTTTTACATTTTTTTATTTTTTAAAATATTCATTTATTTGGCTGTGCGAGTGCTAAGCTGTGACACTCGGGATCTTCAATCTTCATCGCAGCATGTAGGACCCTTTTTTTTAAATTGCGGCATGTAGGATGATATAGTTCCCTGACCAGGGATCAAACCTGGGCCCCCTGAATTAGAAGTGCTGAGTCTCAGCCACTGGATCACCAGAGAAATCACAGAAGTTTCACATTTTAATTGTCAACTTATATATCTTTTCATAGCTCCTGGATTTTTCATCTTGTCCAAGAAGGCCTTTCTCACTTCCAAATTCATACATGTATTCTCAATAGTTTTCCCAGTATTTCCCCAATATTATAATTTTAGTTTGGTTTTTTAATCTACTAGGAATTATTTTTCATATGGAATGAGGCAGGGGTGGAAAAGTACATGGCAACCCACTCCAGTATTCTTGCCTGGAGAATCCCATGGACAGAGGAGCCTGGCCGGCTATGGTCCATAGGATCTCAGAGAATCTTACACAACTGAGTGACTTAGCATGCACTCACACATAAGGTAGGGGATCTAACTTAATTTTTTCAGATAAATAGGCAACTGTCCTCAAATCATTATTTCCCTACTTTAATTGTTGATGTTTCTATAAATATATTAACTAGACTTATTTTTTGTTGCAAGAGGGGAAGAAAAATCTCAAATAGGTTTTTAAAAAGATGGAATTTGGTTGGTTATGTAACTGAAATATCCATAGCACCAACTGGTTTGGGAAGAAGCTTGGAATAGAACTAACTAGAGGAATAGAGCATGAGGCTATTCTGGTGGAGACCTGAATGGAGAGATGGAAGCAGCCATAGGAAGACGTGAAAGGGAAGAACATTCATGCAAAAAGAGGAGAAATGTATGAAAGTTTTACAAATACAACTAACTTGAAACGTTCAAGAGATGAAAGAAAGCCACAATGAGTGGAGCAGGGCGAATGAAGGTCAGAGGGGTGGGAGACTCCTAGAGAGGTAAGAAGGGTCAAATCTTGTCAGATACTGAAGCCACAAGAACGATTAGATTTTGTTCTATTTTATTCTTTCTACTGGGGCTTCCCACATGGCACAGTGGTAAAGAATCTGCCTGCCAATGCAGGAGATGCAAGAGACTTGGGGTTGATTCCTGGGTCAGGAAGATCCCCTGGAGGAGGAAATGCAACACACTCCAGTATTCTTGCCTGGAAAATTCCATGGGCAGAGGATCCTGACGGGCTACAGGCCACGGGGCCGCGAGGAGTCGGACATGGCTGAGTGACTGAGCACGCAGACATTCCTTCTATTATGGGAGCCACTGGAAAGTTTTAAAGAGAAAAGCTACAGGATTTGATTTACACCTTTAAAAAAATTATTTATTTATTCAAGACTATGCTAGAGCTTCATTTCTGCGAGGGCTTTTCTCTAGTGGCGTGAGTTAGGGCTACTCTTCGTTGCAGTGGGCAGGCTTCTCATTGCAGTGGCTTCTCTTGTTGCTGGGCACAGGCTCTGTGGTGTGTGGCTTCAGTAGCTGCAACATGTCAGCTCAGCACCTGTGGCTCCCAGGCTCCAGACCACAGGCTCAGTAGCTATGGCACACGGGCTTAATTGCTCCGAGGCATGTGAGATCTTCCTGGATCAGGGATCGAACCTGTGTCTCCTACATTGGCAGGCAGATTCTTTACCACTGAGCCACCAGGGAAGCTCTAATTTACACTTTTAAAAGAGATCATCCTGGCCACTACTTGGGAATGTGGATTATGAGGGAGGAGAGGGGTAAAGATGGAAGTGGGGAGCACAGTTAGGAAGTGCTGCCATGTTCAGAAAGATAAATGATGGTGGCTTGGTCCAGAATTATATCAGAGGAGATACAGAAAAATAGGTATTGGGGGTTGAGTTATTTACTTACTGAGGAGAGGATTTACTGAGCGGGGAATATAAGGTTCTGTTTTTGCCATAATACATGTAAGATGCTTCTTGGGTAGCTGAGTGGAAGTGTCAAGTAGATAGTTGGCGGGGGGGGGGAGGGAAGTAGATGGTTACATACACAAATTTGGAGCTCAGGCATGGACATATGGTTTAAGAGTCACCAGTTTACATGATATTTATAGTCAGTAGCTAAGATATATAAAGAACTCTGTAAAAATCTAGAAAAACAAGACTGAAAGCCTGATTAAAAAAATGGGCAAAAGGACATGGTCGTTCATTAAAAAAGACTAAGTTCTTTACACATATCAACTTCACTCAAAGTAGAATTCAGAATGAAACTACAGAGATACTGTTTATCATTGACTGACAAAAATTCAAGTGATTGACAACCTACCCTTTTAGTGAAGCTGTGTGAGGCAAATAGACATTGTCTTACACTGCTGTTTAAAGAACAAAATGGAACAAATTCTATGGAGGGAAAATTTGACAATATTTAACAAAGCTTTATGTTCACCTCTTGATTAAGTAATCTCTTTTAAAGGAAGTTACCCTGGAGCTACATCTGCAAAAAATAAAACAACAAATGCACAAGGTTATTAATTGTGACATTATTTTAATATCAAAACATTAAAAACAACCCAAATGCTACATAGGAAACATGCTGAATTAAAGATAGTACAGCTACACAACTGAGTACTACATAGCCATAAAAGAGAATGAAATGGGACTTCCCTGGTGGTTCGGTGGCTAAGATTGCAATGCCATTGTAGGGGGCCTGGGTTTGATCTCTGGTAAGAAAACTAGAGCCCACATGCCACAACTAAGACCCAGTGCATCCAAATAAAATAAATACGTAAATAAAAATATATATGAAAAATAGCCTGTAAAAAGAGAATGAATATTTCTAAGTACTAGTATGAAAAGAATGCCTATATTGTTAAGTGAATCAAAAGTATATATTGTATGTTATGTGGTGGGAGGGAGGCTCAAGAGAGAGGGGGATATATGTATACTGATGGCTGATTCACATTGTTGTATGGTAGAAACTAGCACAACATTGTAAATCAATTATCCTCCAATTAAAAAAAATTTTTTAAAGTATATATAGTATGCTACATTTTGTTAAGAAAAAAAGTGGGGAAATAAGCCTATATATTTCTTAATTTTTAGTACAGTTCTATTGAGATAAAATTCATAAAACATAAAATTCACCCTTTTAAAGTATATATTTCATGATTTTTAGTATGTTCATGAAGATATGCAGTCATCACCACAATCAATTTTAGAACATTTTTATTAACACCAAAAGAAACCCTTT